GTCTTCAGACGCACGGCTAAACCTGAATGTTTCTAGTTCTAGGTCTAGTGTTAGTTCTAGTTTTAGTGCAATAAAAATATGCAACATAGTGATATCTTATGCTAACTAGTGCTACCTACCACTGTCACTAGAACTAACATTAGACCTAGAACTAGAAACATTCAGGTTTAGCCGTCTTAAGAGACGCACAGCTAAACCCGAATGTTTCTGCTTCTAGATCTAGTGTTAATTCTATTTTTATTTCAATAAAAATATACCACAATCTAATGCTAAACAACATTTAAAACTAGAATTAACAATAGACCTAGAATCTAATTTATTCCTCTCATCTGCCCATTAACTATTTATCAGTCAAAACGCACTCACAGCCTGCGTTGTGGCTTGGAATGCAAAACACATAGATACACAACCGAATAAATTGGTTTATCGCCAACCGGCAGCAAAACCATACTTTATGCTGTCCATTTGCGGCAGTAAAGTGACACTTTGTGCTACTGTCTAGTAAACTGTGCATTTAGCGGCAGTTTATGAAAACGACAATGTTTTTTAAAAAATAATAAGAGTAAAAGATGTTTTAGAATTAAATTCTACATGAAATGAGGTAATAGTGTATTAAATCAACCAAAATATTAAAAGGATCTGTCAAAATTTAGGGGACCATCACCCTTAATCAACCCTTTGAAATGCCTCAATTGGTCTCAACTTGCTACTAATTAATACCCTCGGTACACTCATAACGTATACAAAATTTGGCTTAGTATAGAGATAAGTTGCGTTAAATCATCTTAATTTATTGTCCTCTACATGTCCCTGCTCTGTGTCGGTTCTTATGTGAATCACCCTGTATAACTATTATTTGCTCTACATATTTCACTTTATCAAATATAGGATGGTTCAGTTTTTAGGACGTAGTACTTGCCAAAATAACACAAGTTTTTTATACCGGGTTTTTCATTAATAGTGGGAAATATTTTAACTGGAGATACTAAGTGTCAAATAATGAAATTTGACCAAAAATAGCCTTATTCAAAATCGCACCGTTTGCGAGATGAAGGTCTTCAAAGTTCCAGAAAAGAAAATCGTTTTTTCCATCTTTAAAAAATTTAGAATTGTCATTTTAGCACAATTTTTCGATTCTTCAATACTTCCTATGTAAACAACATACTATGTATTCACCCTTCGTC